CCCCCCCCCCCCCCCCAGGCAATCCCGCGTTGGCCTCGTTCTTTTTGCATTTTTGAAAAGGCAAGAAAGAATTTGATCACTATCAAGTCATCTTGCAATGATTCGTAAATACTGTTAGAGTTCTTTTCTACTATAAGTTGGGGAATTGGCAGATTTAAAGCTCAACGTTTCTTCACAGGCGGGGTGGCAATATTTCTCTTAAACGATTAACTATTATAGCTTGCAAAAGGAGTGAAACTATGATTTGACATGGTTAACATTTTGCATGTAAAACATCAAACTTAAGCGCATATGCCACTGAAAGGCATGTACTGTACCCTTGGCATAATTGCCGTAGGACAATCGAGGGCGCCTTGAGTCACCCATGGCTGGAGACTGATATCCTTATGTGGGCATTTCACACGCACCTATCAATCATATATAACAGTTTCCTTTCCAGCCTTTCTGATTCTGTTGAAATCACTTCGTGTCTATATTATTCTAAAACACAATATTCCTTAGACTTATTATTAAATATCACATGAAAGCAGGATGTGCTTGATTCAACACCTTTCTATTACAGACGGTCATACAAATCTTACCTCTGTAATACGAACACTTCTGTTATGTGGACACCTTGCTCTGACTGTTTCAGCACGTCCCTGTCATGGAGGCTTGGCTGTACTTGCGGCATTTCATGTCATCTGCTCAACCACTATATAAGACAATGCCTTTGATTTTTCTTATCATCAAATTGGAAATCCTCAAGAGTATTGACTGTGTAATGAAAAGTCACGACAAAGATAAGGACACACCCCCAAACTAATTACTTTTGTCAGTCTACCAAAGTGAGTACTTACAGTGTAGTTACAATAACATTCCAGAAACATTTATGACATTCACAGTTTTCTGAGTGTGACAGTCACTTTCGATGGTTTCATGAATCTGGAAATATCTATCAAAACATATCTATCACAGAGAGGCATCATTTCCCTTTGGATCCCTCTCCTCCCTCCACCCAACAAAAAAAGTAACATAAGAATAAAACAAATAAATAAACAAAAAAGTAAAAAAGTCAATAAAAATACCCTAAAAGAATAAAGGCTTTTCAATACTTTACCTTAGCCCTCATCTTCCAAGGGGGCGACGGATTAGTCAGAATTCCTCACTTGCCATTGGTAAGGTAATGAGACCATGGGAAATGCAATGTAATGAGAGAGAAACCAACTTGGATACTCAGAAATGTTTACCCCCCTGCCGGTCCCCTGGAAGAGGGGGGGTATGCTCTCTTTTACGGCCTATACAGGGATATGGCTTTTGACCTAGTCTCCATCCTAAACAGGGTATATAAATTTGTGCGAGTCTGTCCTAAACAGGGTACATACGTTTGTGTGTGTCTGTCCTAATTAACCCCTTCCTGGGCCAATCCCCTACTTTAAATACAATTCCCAACCCACCAGCTTAAAAACACTTAATAGACTGCTCCCCATCTACCTACCTTCCAACATGAAAAATTAAACTCATTTTCCCCTTTGAGACAAGTTAGTTGCATGAAATCCTGTTTTTTTGGGGGGCATGGAGTTTTTTCCACCGCTGGAACCACAGAAATAATGAGTTGTACTACTCTGAGTGATGGTATCAATGAAAATAATTTATTAAAGTGAACAAAAAACGAACAAAGCACTAAATCATCAAAGATTTATAGTTCACTGCTATCTGATTGCTTCATAATTAAATCTATTGGACTACCTAAAGCCAAAACACAAATTTCCTTGGTAAAATGTTGATTAGTGGACTGGTTTAGTTAAAAACTTTTAGCATGTTTTGGAAACAATCATTTTAAAAGAAGTATGTGTGACACCTCTAGCAAGTCTATTCAATTTTAAAAGAACAGTCCACCTCATAATTTACTTGCAAGTATTTGTAAACAGAATTTCTTTTTTTAAGGAAAACACTCAGTACAAATCGAAGTTTGTTTAAAATCAGGGTTCATTGTAAATGTTTCTTCATAAAGTCTACCATCCTTCCTAATGCCAAATCACAAATTTCCTTAGTGTAATTTGGATTAGTAGGATTAGTGAAGGCATGGCCAGTATCGTACATGTGCAGCTCATAACTCACTCCAGCGGCATCAAACTTCTCTGCAAGGGCCTTAGCATCTTTTAGAGAAGAGAACCCTTCTAGTGTATCTTTACTACCAAAGTGGGCTTGCACTGGTGCTTTGATCTTGCCCACATCACAGAGGTCGGAACTGGGAATGCCGTAAAATGGAGCGGCAGCTGAAATCTCTTCAGGAAGTAGTGCAGCAGCAGCTAAAGCAAGGGCCCCACCCATACAGAAGCCAGTCACACCCACTTTCTTACAACCTGACAAAATAACAAATAATTGCGGGTTTAGTTTCTAAACATAGGCTACGTTCACAGTGTACCGCTAGCCTTTGTGCTGCCACGAATATCATACTGGGTAGGGCTTCTGTTCACACACTCACAAAAATTGTTGTGGTGGTGTGATAAGTCTGAGGTGGAGCAAGGCTACCCCAGTCCGATCTCTAGAGCAGAGGGTCACATATTGACTGACTACACTGCCGGAGGTTAGCTATACGTGGTGCCACGAAAAGCTAACCGGTATAGTTTGAACATAGCCTTATACTAAGTATGGGGCTGCATCAGTGGCAACCTGCTGGCAGAGCCTTTCTTTCACTTGCTCACGACAATATTTCGATTTTGGCGTACTTAAGGAAGACTGCATTAATCGAGTAGGATCTTTGTTGGGCATATGTGTTGCTTGTTGCTATAAGGATACAGTTTGCAACCCAGGTCTAATAGCTGTGAACTTGGCACAGTCGGTTTAGTTAAGACCATCGGACTATCAATAAATGGATGCTTGCATTTGAAAAAACAAGTTTGATGAGAGAAGGCAAGATTGACTTATCCAGAAATGGAGGCTGTGGCAAATTCAGAAACTTTACACCATTCAGGCAGATCAGCCTCCTTTTCTCCTTCTTGACCAACAAGAAGACAAAAACAGGCTCTGATTACAGGGTGCATCAGTGTAGGACTGAAATAAGACTTTGGGGTTCTGTCAACTGAGTTGATAAATTACAGCTGTCCATTGACTGCTGTATATATACTGAAAAGGAGGATCAGATGGGCTGGTGCTCAAAAAAATAATTAGTTTTACAAATCAGGCAAACTTCCCAAAGGTCTCTATGGGCTGGTCATTTATTACCCGAGATGGGGGCCTGGACCGGCTATTTTGGTGGGGGGTCATTTTCAGATTAGGGAGCATTACCTGGGGGGTCATTTTAATAATTTCATGAAAGTAGTACAGAGCAGTAACAAGCGTTAATTGAAATTGAATGTAACATCTGTAAATAGCAAACACTGATCTTATAAACATAACTGTAGATAAAGCATGTGGTGAACTTTTGGCACGATTTGTGGCCTGCAGAACAGGTGTTGTTTTTTTCATGTTTTTTAGGCATGAGAGGGTATGCACTTCTCCCTGAAAACACGAAAAAATAATCTTTATTCTGCAAGTTACACAATTTGTTGCTAGAATATTCCTATGGAGGCTCACTTTCACCATAGTTAAAATTTATGGAGGGTCATTTCTAAATAGCTAGGATGAATTGGGGGGTTGGGTTTGAAAATCTAAGTTTACTCAAAATGGTGCATTGTGCACCTCCCTCACAGGTAATAAGCAGTCACCCCCCCCCCCCTCCTAGTAAAACACCCATCATGCTGGTAACCAGTGAGAGAGGACTGTATTCATTATTGGGAAGACCTTAGATAACAATGACCTCAACCAGGTTGTGGTGTCTAGGGGTTTTAGTGAAAACAAGGGTTTGGGTGGGTGCTCAGTCTTGCTGGCTCAAGAAAACCTAGTCTTGGCAGACCTGTAGGGAGGTGGATGTGAAGCATGCCCTTGCCCCTCCCCCCATAGGCACCAGAGGTCCACTTTTTTATTGATCAGTGACTTAAAAAGAGTGAAGTAGGGGTATTGTGTAGTGAAATTGAAAATGCTGTTAAAGAAGTCACAGGCCTGACTCACTTTTTCCAAAAAAAAAAAGTTTTAGCCTTCGTTAAGTATAAAAAGGGGATTTGGTGTGCCTACAAGACACTTTTTCATTGCTCATTAAAAATCCTTTTCGTGTTTGTTTGCCATGCTTTTCTGCAAAGTCAGGTTGGATCTGAATTGTTTTTTTACCAGTTGCATGGCAAGTATGAGAACTCCCGTCAGCTTTGACATGCTGAACCCAGTTCTCTATGTTGCTTGGAGGATATTAAAACTCCTATTAAAGCTGCACCGTGTGACTCTTTGTGGAGAAAAGTTTTTTTAGGTCGACATTCTTTCTTGTTGAAAGTATATAAGTTTCACCACACCATCTTAGTTTTAATTGCATTTTCAGCCATTTCAGGGGGCTTTTAAAATTCAAAAAGTTTTCACAGGAGCATGTCCCTGGACTCACACTAACGTGTTCCAGGTGAGCCCCCCCCCCAGTTGCAAAGTTCCTGGGAAATTTTGTCTCAGACAACTAAAGCTTCCCCCCTTAAGAGATATGCCCCACCAGCCTTATTTGGTATGTCTCCTAGTTGGATTGCACCTACCCCGTAAAAAACCTCCCTATGAGCCTGCTCGGTCATTCTTATTTAAGGATTTTCTCATTATTGAACATTCTGTCGGCGAATACTAATCCTAAACACACCCTCCCACTCCCTAGGTAGGGAAAATATCCATTTTGAACCACTGCAGTTTCAAAACAAAGCTTGGAGTTATCTTAACAAAAAAGGGGTCATTTCAGGATTTTGCAGCATTCCGGGTCAGCCCAAAGTTGCAACACCTACGTATACTATACTCTCCCTCGAATTGCGTGACCCCGATTAACTACTAAGGAGTTTATCTTCAAGCTTATATTGGGCCAACCTTTCTCCTTCAAATATTTCGCAGCCCCAGCGATATCTTGCACTGCGCCTGGCCAATCCAAATCAGACATGTAGTGGCCCGCGGTTTCGTGATCCGTCGCTATTTTTCCCCGGTACAAGTCGGGAACAAGGGTAACAAAGTTGCCCCTTCCAGAAATATCTGCAGCTTCGTCTATGATCACCTGATTCATGCCCCACCACTCCTGTAGAACCACGAGCCCCATGCTTGATTTGCTAGTGTCTCCCGTCAACACCCCCGACAAAGCTCCTTGTTTATTCTCCGAAGGGAAGCAGACTTTTTCTTTGTTACTCATGATGTTCTTAGCTGGAAAAGGCCAAGCAAGTCGACACAAGGATGAGATTCGAAGAGCCGTTTTGTTAACGCTTCGCGTGCGGGATTTGGGATTTGCGGGGATATCGGCTCAAGTAAAACTGGCTGGGTGTAGCTTGGGTACTAGTTTTTAGTCTCCCCCGTTTCACAGTGATCTTATTGAACTCGAATAGGAGAATTAAATTTTTTATTTTTTGGAAAGAAATAGTGCCGGTACCACACATTTAGGCCACTTATCGCTAATCTAGTATCTTCACACTCCTGTAAGGGCTTCCCATTCAAGACACCCTGTTCAACTAACGCTTGAAAACCACACCCTGTTCAGCGCACAGTACCTACTTCTTCGGTAACCAATACAGTGGCCCGTTGCTTAGATTTTCTGGTCCGGTCAGAGCTATTAATAACCTTATTAGTCAAGATCAAGAGCCATTATGGCTCTTGTCATCTTAAGTCTGAAACTCAGTGACAGTTTTATTTTGAAGACCTTTTAAAAATATGATAACTAATTAATGTCACGTTACTAGGTTCTAGTTATGATGAATATTCAGCCTGAGTCACGATCAAAGAGATTAAAATTCCTATTGTTTTTATTTTGCAGCCCTAGATATGGAAGGTTCTAAGTAAACTTTTTTTTAGTGATCGCGTGAGTTGTAGTTTAGCATTAGCAAGGAAGAGGAAAGCTTTTCAACGTTTTTTTTCGTGGAGGAGCAGGGGTTGGACTTCTCCACATATACTTCTCCTATCTTATTGCTTTTGTTTTAACACAAGCTATTATCAACAAATTGCGGAAGGTGCACAATAATTAATTTTAGATTAGCAAGCTTTCTTCGCGAAAAGTTTTGAAAAGTATCAACGTCACATCAGTTTGCCATTCCATTGTTAAGGCCCGTTGACGTCTCTGTGTTTTGTGGGTTGCCGACATATCATTGTTCCTCACTCTTTTACGATTCCTTTTAGTTTAGCCAGAAAATAAACAAGTTAATTTAGAGCGCACTTGAAAAAGCCAATCAGAATGTAGCATTCTCTGCACTCTTTTGTTCGCCGACAGGTAAACACATACACACGCGTCGCCTCGTTTCCATGGAGTGAAAGTGACGGTAGCCAAAGGATCGCTGTAGTTTAGTTACTGAACAATGAAAGATGCATAGAGATTTTCTGGGATTTGGCTGTCATATTTATTTTTAATAACCAGCTAAGAGACAGTTGAATGTCTAAATTATGCCCTCTCTTGTAGGGGAGGTTCTGATGTGGCGAGACGGCAAAGAAAATTTGCTGATCGCGTAACGGAGCATGATTGTAAAATGGCTGAATTTGGAAATCAACCGTCGGGTTTTAATCTGCCAGGGAGGCAAGGATGTTTGTCGGATCAGGAAAGTTCTTCGGAGATTTCCTCAGGAGTTGATTTACAAGAGCGTTTACGAAAGGAGAAGTCATTTCGCAAACAGACGGACGAAGTATACCAACGTCTTCAGGACGACTACGATGAACTTCTAAAGAAATATGCACAGGCCGAGAATACCATAGACCAGCTGCGAATAGGAGCAAAACTTAACTTGTATAGCGACTTACCTCCACCACAACAAAGCTCGTTTGTAAATGTAACAGTTCACAAACAACCTGGTACGTTTAGATTTCCGAGAAGTAGCCGTGCTGTGTTGAGCGAAGGCGGCTCTGCGAACGAAGAGACATCTCGCGGGGTTGATGCCGGGACGCAAAATGGCAACCAATCGATTTATGCGCCAAACGCCGGTTCACATCCTTCGCTCTCTGATGGCGTGAGATTAAGAACAGCTTTGTCGTCTAAAGTTGAACATTTTCAGGAAGATGTAGATGCTTTACAAGATCATGTTATGCAGGGACAATGGGCTGAACCTGAAATAGAAGAACTGCGGAGTATGTGTGAGCAATTGAAAGCACAAAGTGAGAATTTAAAACGTGAATTGGCTCAGATCAGACGGTTGGAAAGTGGCGGAGATCCTGAAACATTTGAAGATGAAAGGTGAGTGAAAATGAAGATAAATTTGACGTTCTTGGTGAAGGTCAAAGATGTTGATTGTGATTATATTTAGGCCCGGAAATTGTGTTTGTATAGATGTATTTTTGTCAACACAAAGTTTGTCGCAATACAGATCTCCTCTGTTACAAGTAGCAAGTTTACGTTCTTATATTGAGCACAAAATTTACAATCGCCTTGAAAGAAGGCGAATTTTTCGACAGTATTCAGGGCTGTTTAGACGTGATAATTACGTTAACTTTTCTCCTTTATTTAACAGACATTTTGTACACTTTCAATAAATGAGCTTATTTAACTAGGTCTTCGACTTAAGCTTTGTCCAAAGTTAAACGAAACTGCTTAATGATTAATGATAAACGCTCTGAATTTTAAAACGATCAACTCGCGATAAGAAAAAAAGAAAAATGTTTTCCAGCTGATTCATTATTATGATTCATTGTTTCCTTTTACAAAACTGAAAAGTTTTTCTTTCAATCCCACTTGTAGATTTGAAATAGCCTAACACCTTTGGTATGCTTTGTAAAAACACAAAACATTGTTTAGGTTGAAATGACTGCAGGTGGACTGTAAACTTTGTGATCCCATTCTTTTGGTTTAACATTATTCATTCGCTTTTATAATGACACCTAGGTTTTGGTTGATTTGAAAATTAATATATCATGCCCAAAGATATTTAGGAATTTTCCTGAAAGGTTTTAGTACAGGATGCTCCCAGCAGGATCACAAAGCTATGATTTTTTAATTGTTGAAATTTTGGAAACGATAACAGTAGTGTGTACATTTTTTTCAACAAATAATCAATGTTCCCGTTGACTTGGAAATATAGGTAGTGAAATGGCATTCACTGGATAGGCCATGACACTTTTAATGTATCTTTAAAGGTGTTGGTTTCTAAAATAAGACTGGTGTAGTTTGAAGTTGTGGTATGAAACTTGTAATTTTGTCAACCATGCTTGATTAAGTAGAATGCTTAAGCCTACAGTTGGGACTTGAGTAAAACAATAATTGTCAAAAAGCTTTTAAAAAGGCAAAACATGTGTGAATTTTTCTCAGAATTATTTATATTTGGATGTGCAATATATACGTGATGTCTTTGAAAAGGTTGATGGCATAATTATTATTGGTGTTTTTCAGCCATCATTATGGATTAATCATCTTTTAAGGTCATTTCCCAAAACAGCATTTCCCCCTTTGCTCAAAGCAAACTGCTCTTACTTTTCAGTTGACTTATGACAACTTTATGCTTTAAGCACCACCATGGGATTCCTCAGTTGTATTAGAATGGGCTGACATATCTAAACTGGTTTCATCAATTTTGGTCATTTCCTAAACCTATATCCATTCAATAGACATTTTGATCATTCACCAATTTTGGTTATTTTGGGGCTGGTGCACCATATACCAAGTGAATAGCAAGACTCAAGTTACATCACAAAGAACACAACAATGATATCTAGCCCTTACACAATAGCACAATAGAACAACACAATAGTGCTTTTATTGACTTGGTATATCGAGCATCACCCCTTTTTGGCGGAATACAAAATTAGTGACAATTTGGGAAAAAATAATTAGTATAACAGACCCACCACAACACCAGACAGTGCTGTGAAACAGCCACAAAATACACATCGTTCTCTTATACTGTAAGTTTATTATCAGTGGTTGCTGATCAATGATTCAAACCATCGTGCTTTGACTGAGTCAACTGATTTGACCAGGGATACCTGGTGGTGGTTCTTGGGAGCATTCACCCTAAAACAAGGGGTGTTTAACTCTGCATATTTCATTGTATATGTATTGTATCATTGCAAAAAATATTATCATGTTCATGAAGTCTTTTGCCAGTTAAGGCAGCGTGCAAAGAAAGTCGTGTCCGATAGCCCAGGGCTAGTGGATTTTACTATTGGGCTAGTGAATTTTGTTCTTAATTTGCCTGCCTGGCAAGTGAAATTTTTTAAGGAATTCTAATCACAAAAGAACTGTTATCAACCCTGCTCACCATCGGGCTAGTTAAAATGACTTTTGGGCTATACATGCTAACTACAGCTTGCCGGAATGGCAAGTTGTAATACTGACTTTCTTTGCACCCTGGAACATGGCATATGCTGTACCAAATTTTAATTAATGTGCTTTTTTGTCAGTTATTAGTGTTAGTCAACTGATGGTCATGTGGCTCAGGGTTTTAGTATGGTAATGTGGTGGGGTTACTTTGGTTTTGGTCAAAAGAAGGCAGAAATTAGAACCCTTTCCTGTCTGGGGCTAGAAAAAATCCTGTGAGGAAATTAAACCCCAGAAGATATCAAAAGATGATACTGATTATTTTTAGAAGAGTGATGAACAGCACAAAAATGTTTCCTTTGACGTGCCAAGTCTAATTATTTTGTGAGTCACAGTGATACATAAAAGATTTTAGCATAACTAAGTTAGAAAATTCTAATTGCAACAACCAAAACTTTAATGTTCATTACTCATAAAAAAATTAAACATAGGCCTTTTTTTTATTTTGCATCTTTTAACTATAGAAAATTAATGTCAAAATGAGATAAAGTGTAAACCCAAGCAAAAATGGACATAAGTTGTTTGCATGAGGGCCCCTTTGCCTTTTTGTGAAAGCAACATGACTTGCAAGTATAAAGACCTTTTTGACATCTCACTTTACACTTATTACAACAGTAATCTGTGATGGATGGCTCACCACTTTGAGTGGAGTCATAATAAAATGTAGCTTGTTCACATGCAATGTTTTTGAAAAGAAACCTTTGCTTTATGTAGTTGTATGTTTACATGCACATTGATGTGTTTTCTTTGTCTTGAAGTTACTCTATTTTACTCTACTTTGTTCATAGTCCAATTTGAGTAGTTGCATTGTAATACAACTGAAGTCCTTAATAAGATTCAAAGTTAAATTCCAGCATTCAACTCACTCCTTTTTATTCACACATTTTAATTTGAACATTAGGAAAACCAGGATGTGCTGATGAAAGCATACTTTACCAAGGAAAGTAACCAAAAAATAAAATAAAAAATTAAGGATTAGAAGCAAGAGGGGATTTGTGACACTTATTATTATGCTCAGCTCTTGGTGGAGACTATTCCAAGTCAGTTTTTTTGAAAAAGTGATAAGGTGTTGTTCTAATAATAATAAAAAAATATTTTTATTATTCCTTTGCAGTTTTACTGGTGATTTTTTGCCTGAAGATAGCATTAATGGACAGGTGGGTAAATTAATCAACTATTTTGTATTATTATTATTTTCTTTCCAAAGCTTTTAGACCTTCTGTGGCAAAGTTATCTGGACTTATGCAAGGCTCATTGGCACATAAGACATCTTTAAAGTTTTGTTTTTGTTTTTTTGCTATGAAATCTCTTTTATTGTTAGGAGTTTGTTTCCTAATTAAGCTATACGTGTTAAGTGGTATTGAACCAGAAAATTCTTCTGATCCAGCACCTTTCAAAACAACGACAGATGTGGCACTGGCAAAGACAGAAAACCAGATGGAGAACTAGACAAACAAATGTACTGAAATGCATATGCAACTATCCTGCATAGCAAGTGGTTTTCTTGTGTTTTTGTTTTTTGTTCATGACTCAATCTTCTTTCTCTTGCCGGCTCCCAATCGTTTTTTTGTGTAACTTCTCACTTTATGAAACATCAATGAAAAAAATGTCTGCTTTGCACAATAATAGTCAAGTGGTAACATTTAAGGAGAAAAACACTGGCTTGCATGTACAGGGGCGGATCTAGGGGGAGGGTGCAGGGGTTGTGCACCCCCCCCCCCCCTGAGATGACCTGAGGTTTTCTAATACAACTGGTATTCTGTGGAAAAAAAACTATGTGGTTTATTGGTGTTGAAGTAGAGCAAGAGACGAGTGCACCCCCTCCTGAAAAAAATCCTGGATCCGCCCCTGATGTATTTGTCAGATATACATTTTCATATGTGCTTTGTCCTTGCAGTTATATCGATGTGGGCTGAGACTTGAGGAAATATCAGACCAACTGGGAAGTGCAACTCCAACCAACAGGGTACCCAACCATGAGGGAAGGAGGAACAGTTATAGTGAAGTGTTAAACAGGTTAAGCAACATTCCTGTTCTTTGCCTATGTAGAGTTTCCTTGCTTTCACGGTCAAACTTTGTGTCTGGCAGTGTGGTTTTTACTTACATGTACAAGACCATAGTTGATATTACATTTTGAGGCAGCATTATTACTTACTTACCAGCCCAAGGATTTCAAATCCCATGGATGTATAAAAAGTCCATTAATTTCCTTTTGATTTTGTTGTAACATACAAAATAAAGAGAAATGTGGAATCAAGTCGGTATAACATCCTCAGTAAGACTAGCAGTATCCACTGTTAGAGCAATCAGATAAGCTACATGTTTAATACCCATAATATATTATTTATATTTTTTTTATAGACCTAGAGATGGCTATCCACAAGCAGTGGCTGAAAACCATGGACATGAACCTGAGTTACAGAACTTAATGCAGGTAACTGATATGATGAAAGAATGAAGATTCAGCTTTAGGCACATGATGTTATAGGAAAATTAAAACAAGCCTGCAGATAACAGCAGACGTCGCTGATGAAGGGATCCAATTGGGTTCCAAAAGCTCTGTGTAACTTTCAAGAAATTGTTGACCCTCCCTATTGTTGGTGGTGAAAAAAATTTCTCTGTAACTAATTTGATGTTTCATGTTTGTAAACACATGATACATTGCTCTGAAAAGAGTTATAGTGGTGTTTTCTTTTAGTGAGCTTTGACATGCGCTCTCACTTAAAAAAAGCACTGTTTATTTTTTAACAACACAAGGCAATCTACAGATTTAGCCAGGCTAAAAGCGAAGCACCTGTTTATGCATTTTAAATTTACTACAGACAATGTAATTTAAACTATTGAAAAGACTACAAATCCATGATTAACTTTACGTGAAAACCATCTGACTGAAAAACTTAAACTTAAGTCTGCGATCAATATTTAAAAGTTAACATTTGTCTGTGGAAAACTTCAAAAAAATGTGTGACCTCAATGAGTTGGCACCTGAGCCTGCAATAGAGTCATGTTACACTGGTCAACGGATACTCTGTTTTGACACCTGTCAATTGACCATAATATGGTTGTCTATTATAAGGTTAACAAATAGATTCCATGTTAGAGCATTTTCACATGACATCACGGCGGCCGTATTGGTGTTCCAAAACAATAAAACAGCCGCCATGTTGGTGTACCCAGAAAATCCTCTGGTAGTTGAACTCTTTTCTTTCTTTTGTTCCAGTAGCATAGATTCTGGCCAAGTGAGTGAAAACGCTCTTTAGATCACAGATAACATCAAAAGAGTTGAAAAAATTCTGATTACAAGGACTAGCGCTTCCTATTAGTATAATAATAATAACAACGAATAATTGGGTTATGGAAACTTGGAAACAAATGACAAGTGTGACTTCTGCCCCTTGAAAAAGCCTGTAGCTGCTTAATGAAATGTGTAAAAACTCTACATTTAATGTAGAGTTTTTTTTGGGAGTGCAAATGTGTTTTTTTTAAGGCGGCAGTTAGTATGTAATGGCTGTTCTCTTTTGAGAAAGTTTGTTATGAGAGCTTTGCCTTTACAATACACAAATAAATTTGTACAGAAACTTCCTGGTGGATGTCAGAATTGCTGGTAACTTAAGTTACTCACCTTCCAAGCAATCCATAGCTTCCAGGGAACTGTTCGATGTAAACGTTAATTACGTTATGTCGGCTACGTTGTTTCAGATTTTCTTACATATAGATTACTGAAGTAGATATGCAATACCCCATGGTGACCTCGTTTTATTTTCTTTGTCCCCTTTCTATTCAACATTTTAATAGATTTGTTTATTTTCCCCTTTTTCAGAGGCTCAGAAATATCAAAGAAGCCAGCCGGAATGATTTAACAAGGTAAATTCTATGCAAGGCAAATTTTATGTGGTATATTTTGTTTGTTGTCCAAGACAACCCCTTCCAAATGTCCATCTATTGAACAAAATATATATCACTTGCCGTGAGAAGTGAAGTTTATTTTTAGCTCAATCCCCTCCCACCTCATTGGGTCAAACTTGAGTCATGCAATGTAATTCTAGCTTTTAAGTCAATTAATGAATTCTTACTGAATGTACTCATTCTGAAAAAAAGAATTAATTCTTTGATCTATTTTTCTTTTAAATTCTTAGTTTGTTAATGAAATCGTGGCCTTCTTAGGTTGTGGATGTAAAGTGTCATTTGACTGGCAATATGTTCTCATAAATAAACAACATTGTTTAGTGAGATTTTTTAATTATAAATAATGGAGAATTACGGTTCAAGTGTCCACTGCGAATTTATTTTCCTTCAAGTTCATGCAGTAGATTGTTACAGTTTTTTTCCATTATGTTGGAAAATTCTTTCATTATTTTCATATGTATCTTTGATGCAAAATCCCAGATTTCAAAAAAAGTTTGAATAGACGAGATTTTTTTCCTCTAAGGCAACAAAATTTATTTACGTAATTTTCTAAGCTACGACTTTGGTGTGTTTACAAATATAACGACGGAAGATTCTATCCCGTAAACCCCCATAACAAAACAGATTTGCATGGATAAAAAACCGTATTGGTCTCCCGGGCAGGTGTCTCCTAGCGATATTCAACGACAGGTAGATAAGTCAATATAGCATATGATAATTTCTGGCAGAAGTGTTTAAATCGGATGCTACTGTATCAGGATGTTATTTCAAGAACATCACTACAGCGATTTCATCTTTCGATAATGCACGCATGGCGGCAAGAGCTTTTCAAGAAAACTGCAGCGAAAGCACAGAAGATGAAGAGATCGCGAGGATTTTACGTTGGGCCGCAACAATGTAATATTCTTATTTTACATTTTAGCTGTTAAATTGATTTGAATTTCAAGGATTGATTTAACGATGAGGCCGTTTTTGAGTAAACAGAGCTTCAGCCAGTCGTTTGTTATTTTGAGGGAGTGCAATGTGTTGTAAGACGGGAGCAGTTTCGTTTCGAGTCAGATTCTGATTACTATACCTGTTGTGTTCTGTTTTTGTTTCATGTGGTTCTGTGATGGTATCAAGACGGCTCAATGTATCTTTGTGTCTTTTGTTAAAGTCAACAAAAATAGAAGCTCGACTTTGCTTTTGTTTTTGCCGCTATCATGATTCTTGGGTCGGTAATGGTTAATAGAAAGCAAACGGCAAAGATCACTTTCATTCGATTTCTCTCTTGTTGACCTGTGTCCGTAATAATGGTAATCATTGATTATAATCGCTTCTATTTTTCTCTAAAAGATTGTAGGCTTATGTTAATTGTAAAATTGTATTTTCAAAATCTTGAAATATTGGAAGTGATTCATGTTATGTTTATGTAACACAGAATCGTTCTTTTAGTCGCTACATCAGTGATGAGTCGAGTTAAAACGTCTTCAAATCCTGGAAATTTATCCTTATTTCAAATGTTTTTCATTAACATAACTGGGCATTTTACATAGCTAACACATTTTATGAAGTGATTTTAAAGAGTATTTTCACACAGGTTTTTTAACCTGCCGTACCCTAGGAGTTTTTTGAAAGTGGTGTTAACAAAATTGTGGGGCGAAACGATTATTTCTCAAAACTGTATAGCGTCTTGAATCGCCTTTTACATATCATGATTTTAAAGAGCGCTTATTTCTTTTAATGATTTGTGATTTGCTTGTGGTTTTGATAAAAAGGGAATAGATACAGTGGAAAAATGGGAAAGTATTACTTTTATATGACCTATAGTTAGAACCCAAGATTTAATCATTTTACTGTAAATCCCGTTTTTAAAACTAAGTTGTCATATCCTCAATTTTTTTATTATCTTGTCTCAGCTTCTCTTCACAGTGATTGAATATGTATATCGGAAATTCTTCACGAAGCATGCCATTCAATATAAAGTTGTTTTTAACAGTGTTTTTTTCTCTGTTGTTTGTTTGCCTCCCCAAGGTGGAGTTTATTCGCAAAATTGATAATTTTATTTTTTTGACTTCCAATATCGCATTTAAAACTGCGAACTGATTTTTGACATTTTTGTCGTTGGTCTTGCAGAGAAGGGAACAGCACAGACGATGCTGCGGATTTTGATGTGAATTCCGTCGGAAGAGAAGACGAATACAATCGCAGATTTTCGCTGGGTAAGATCAAGTTGGTTTTTCCGTTCGTATAACGTTCAGTTGTAATGATAATTGCAAAATCGTTTAAGACGCTAAACGTTGTCGTAGTGACTTCCTTTCGTTGCATTATTAGTGACGGTGATTGGGTAATGAATTATTATTTTGAACCTATCGCATGATTTCATGTCTTGTTTTATCCGCAGGTCCGCTTCCAGATAGCGATGGTGAATTTGAGAACAAACAGGTGAATTAAAATCTCTTATTATAAACCAGTGTTGGCTCCTTTACAGCGATTTTCTCCGCTTTCTGTTACATCGCTTACGTATACCTCTATTATAATCCTAGTCGGACAAAACTAACACTTAACATATTCAAATTGAATGTCAGTTTTCGCGTCGTAGACGTTTTTAAATTATTAGCTGGTGCTTTCGTGCTGTGTCGAATTTATTACAAAATGACAGTTTTTAAAGTAATCTGAATATTCTTGGAAAGCCTTCCGTTAAGATGTCGAGTCAGTTGACTTTCATGTTTTTCATTATCCAACGTATATTGTCACTTTAACCGTTCTTTGTGTGGCGATATTGATTATGTGAGAGAATTTTTTAAGCGGAATTACTGTCTGTTACATGTGGTTTTGCATGCATCATAACATTAGAAAACTGACCAATCATCTGTCATCACCTAGTGCGTTCTAGGGGATTTTGTCTTGAGACGTGTGTAAAAATTACCTCAAATTGCGTAAACAAACTTTATTCAAATTTCTTTATCGCTCTATCAAAATAATCGAAAATGATTCGAGAGCCGGGCCAATACGACTGTTCACTGTATTGAGTTGTTCTTTTGGCGTTTTCGAGTCGAAAGGGCCAGTGCGGTCCAACACAACGGCAAATGTTTGGAATATGGTACTCGAAAGCCGACTGAATCTTACCACGAAACGTGCTGAGTTAATTTGACGAAAATTTGGCAGAGAATTCCTGGCAATATTGAGAATCGAAGCATCAGAGTTTTTCCTTTTTGGTTATGGAATGGTTTGGGAACGAAGGATCACTAGAGGAGTTTTATTTGGTTCTCTTGGATGGAAGATTAGAATATTCGGTGAGCGCTGTCGGTGATTTTATGCTACTAGCGTGGCATAATTAGTGGTGATTAAAATTAGAAGTTACGCTTTGTTACTCTTTCGCCAATCTAACATCAATTAAGTATAAGACTATTCATATAAAAAAAAAATGCGGATAATTTTGTTATCTTCCTGTTTAGGTAATACTACAAAATTTTCTGTCGTTTTGTATCAGTGAAAACCACTGTTGAGGTGGTTTTGCGAAGAATTCAGATCAATTCCTATATCATAGGCGAAAATCGTGGAGCAGGGGAAACCTGCCAAGTATATTTTGCTATTTTAGGGCATACTACATTATTTTGGAAAGAATTCGTTATGTGTGCCATAAACGGAGTTCTATTTTTGTTTTCTAGGGGCTTGGTGACCACGCCGAACCCTTGGACCTTCAAGAGTCTGGCTACTTCGCATCCGAATCCATGAGCGTTCAGGACCCTGCGTCTGAACCTCTAGAGAGTCAGTATTTTGCCAACAGTCAAGGGCCTTATGACAGATCACGAGGAAATTCTTTACTGGCAACAAGGTACAGACGGTTTTTTCCTCAATATGAATGGACTCCGACCCGTTTCCATTCATATGGGATTTATGCCAAATCATGTTCTATTAAAAAGGGAACACGCGTTTCTTTCTGTTGAAAAGAAACAAAGCAAACACATTTATAAATTGACGAAGCCGTATTTAGTGAAGATTCGTTTGCCTCATTTCCATGGAAAACAAGCCCCAAGGAATGTGTGCTTTTGGCCTTGAAAAGAGTAGTGTGTTCACAGTCCCCTATTTTTCCATAAGACCGTCGAGATCGAAGACCCCGACACCCGCCCCCTCGGTACATTTAAAAGCCAAGATGGCCGCCATTAACGGTGAGACGCGCGGTACCTCGACGATCTCACGGAAAAATAGGGGCCTGTATGAAGTTTATAAAAAGAGGAATTTCGGGTCTTTTTGTAATCGCATTTCCCTAGCCTGTGTACAAACGTCCCCCCTCCCTCAGAAAAAATCGGGAGAAAAAAAATCACGATTTTTTCTGAGGGAGGGGAGACGTCTGTACACAGGCTACATTTCCCCCCTCCCCTATATTGCGAAGTTTGTATCAGTGGAGAGTATTTTAAGAAACTAAAAGCGGTGGTATTCTTGGCAGGAACAAGGTAACTCGGAAATTCGTCGTTGACTTGCTTGATGACATTCGTAAAACTGATTGGACAAGAATCGAAAACCCGTGGTTAAGGTTTTTGAGGACACCAGCGACCCTAGCCTGCGAACAGCCGACGCATTTCCAACTTAGCGACGACCGGAAATGCCTCGGCTGTTCGCAGGCTACCGCGACACTTGTGTCGTGCTGTAATAAGATGTAAAGATAGTCAATGAGACAGTGCTTTCCTTAGGTCAGACAGCAAGTGTACAAGAATACCCGCTATTCTATATTGAATTCTGTCAATAACGTTCTGTTTCTTTTTTTATCAGCCCCCGTCGGTTGTCCGTCTCTTCCACTGCTGGCCAGCGTTCACGAACCGGGAGTCACGTGAGCCGTTCCAACACAGCAGACGTTGACTCACCCCCTCCTCCCGAGGACGAAGGTGACAACGATTTAGCTTCTTCTAGTCTTCCATCCCCCCANGTCCGTCTCTTCCACTGCTGGCCAGCGTTCACGAACCGGGAGTCACGTGAGCCGTTCCAACACAGCAGACGTTGACTCACCCCCTCCTCCCGAGGACGAAGGTGACAACGATTTAGCTTCTTCTAGTCTTCCATCCCCCCAGACCTCTCCTGGTAGTACCAGATCCCCTCGAGCTTACTCCAGCCCCGTGCAAACTAATGTGAATGGCATACCCCCTCCATCCCGACGCCAGGACAGTCACGTGAGCGAAGACAATAGTAAACGCTCGCGGGAAAGCTCAAGAGCATCTCGTTTACCGCGATCTAGATCCGATCAGGATGGTTTGCGTGACCATGGTGCTGCTGCGAACCCTGACGGCACGTTTGTAGAACGTGATCGTGCCCCTAGCAATCGCAGTCTGCCACGTGAAGCATACGTGCCCCAGGACACTCGAGGCAGGCGAAGCAATTTGCGTGATCCTCCGTGGAGCGCGAATGAGTCACACGAAGAAAACGCACGCAGACCATCGCGTGTTGTCCATGGTCGTCCTTTAAGGGCCAGTGTCTCAGGCGACAGTCGTGTTTCGACTCCCCTGTTCCTTCCTGATGGAGCTCCCCGACCGAAAGAAACTCAGCGAAGGGGCAAGCAACGCAACCCGACCGCTGACTCCGAAAGAGGCTTTGACAGCGGATTTTTTGGTTCGGAGGGGAGTCGGATTTCTCGAGGGCACGAGTCGCCCGATATCCGTCCGACATTTTATCCCGAAAATAAACTTCGGGTCGCTCCTTTGCAAGAACACTCTGCTACAGAAACGGAGGACGACAGGCTTCATACGACCGTTCCCAAGCATACTCCGAAGCTGATACCCAGAAATAGGGACCATAGACGGCGACGATCTTCTCTCCAATCTTTGTCTGAAAGCGAAGAAGATCGTGCCCTTGAAACATCACACGCTAAACCTCCAACGAGGACACCCTCGTCTCAACGAGAACGGAGGAGTCATCGGCACGCTCTGACTCATCCTGCCCCTCGGTCGGATAACGAAGGACAACGAAGACTTGACGACTCTTTACGAAGACACGCGTCAACTCCGAGCTTATACGATGACGGTGCGGGAGATAGATCTGAACAAATCGGAAGAGGCTCAAGGACTCCAACCCGTCATGAGAAGGCGTCGACTCCATTGAGGAGCACTGGTAGGGAGTGTTTTTATTCTACCTATTTAAGGGTTCCTGTCTTCACTCGTTGTTCTGCCGAATGAACCGTGCAAATTTTGAATTCGCCAAATGTCAGCGCCAGCTGCTCGGTCCGTCGACCTCTTTGCATTCTGAATGCCGGTGCTTTCAAAGTTACTCGAAACTTTTCAATACTCTCGAAAACTCCTTTTATCTCCGTCTCAGAAATTAAACGTTTTTGACACGTTTATTAAAAACGACTCAATCTTACGAAATATATTTTTTTACTTTCACAGTGTGGTTCTGTGTTGTGTCAGTTTATTGTTTTTTTTACCGACTTTGAATCTGAATTTCATTATTTCAATCAAACCCCGTACACGTCCCCTTTATGGTCTTTTAATTCCATTAAAGTACCAGGTTAAAATCTGCCATTTTCTTTCAGTATAACTTAAGTCCTTATTTTTAAGAAAAACATGTTACGCTCAGTGTGCTTTTAATGTCTTTTGATAACCTGCAACCGATCAAGGACATCATCGAAATCTGAATAAGAAAATGGTGATTAACGAGCTGTGTTTTTCCCTTTTGTTTTAGAAGCAAGTCGATTAATTACTGAAAAAGCTAGGTAAACAGTTACAGCTATTGTGTGTGGAGAATTTAACTTAATTTCCGTTAATTCTCTAAATTTTACCATTTTGGATTAATAAAGCCATTACCTCCTCGCGAAAGAATGAGCAAAATTGAAATACTAGTATCTTACGGTTTCGTCTAAAAAACGGACTTCTATTCTCGGTTAAAATTCCCGTAAATATGGCGTGTTTTCTCCATATTTTTGCGAAAGAAACTGATATTTTGATAAACAAAGTTGATATCCCGCCATTATGCGGTCTATTTTTCGTTTGAACGTTTCTTGGCGTGTTTATTTTATTACGTATGGGCGCATTCATTTACATCTTATCTTCCAATGTGTCGGCTGGGTCACTTAAACATCTTATCCAATAACCGTGTGGATAGAATCCTTTTATGATCCTCCTATGAATCCAAGTCTCGCGTTCTTAATCAACAGACTGTTTCGTTTCGTGATCGCGACACAGTGCACATGTTGCAAAGAAGCTTCATCAAATATTACGGTATTTTGATTTTCGTGCAAATGTTTGTCACTTTTGTCATATAACTCACTAACTAGACCGAATTAACCTAGGAGGTTCGCCTTATTTGGAGACTGGTCGAGGAAGACATTGGTTTTTGTTCCTAGGTATATTTTTGGACATTTTATTTGACAGCGAACCAATCAAAATCGAAAGATGGATATTTATTTCATGGTTAGATACTTCTTTTGATATGTGTTATTTCACAACGCTCATGGCTAATATCTGCTCGTAATATAAGAATGTTTTGTACTGTGACTAATGCCTTGATATGTTCTTTATACGAGAGGGTCTTTTTGGAGGTAACGCTTTGATTCACTTCAAATCCATCTGCTTGGCACTAATCTAAAGATTATGTACTCTTAAATTAATAATACATAGGCGTCTAACGATATTAGAACTGTTAGCAAGGTTATTAGTAAAGATATTTAGGTGGATGTGTTGAAGCGATAAAGAAAAGTAATGATGGATTTCTTTCGAGGTACTGCTTTTGTAAGTCGCGTGTGCATTCTGGTTCATTAAGAAATCACTTGCTTTATTTTCCAACGGGTAAAAACTCTGTTTAGACATTCTCGTTTGTCTCTGTGAACTAAAAATCAAGTTATAAAATTAAAGACTATATGTCATGTTTTATGAACCCACCTTTCAACCACAATATACACTAGGAAGCCAAACCTACATTTCTAAAATCTTGAAATGAAACATTACTTTATAAACGGAAAGTCGAGCCTGTCAGTGCTTATGGTTGTTTTTGGCTCTTAAGTTTATCTTGTTGTGTCCTTAAAAATAGTAATGCCGGGGTCGGGCACATACACTGGACGCGCAAATAACCTGGATATACAGCCGTGCAATCTCATATGTAGTCATCAGTGAAGATGATATGAAGTATAATTTTCAGTTATAAGACTCCCTTGAAAAATAAAAAGGGAACCTCTCCTTTTACTTGTTTACTTTCATTTTTCTCCGTCACGCTTTCTTAAAACCATCAACTTTCCATTTATTGCGGTTCAATTGATATTTGTTATCCATGAATTTTAATCCTGGATGTTGCTTTATTAATATGATCCCCAAATATACTTTTTTATGTTTGTTTTTAACCTTGGGGCTTAATCAAATGTTGTCAACGAATGAAAAGAAAAATAGTAATTTATCATCCGTCGTTATTGCGCTAATTGGTTTTCCACAACACCAGGTTCACTTGCTTTAACATTTTATCGGTTGTGCTAGGCAACATTTCAGGTGTGTAAATTATGTTAAAAGTGCTATGAATTACACCTCAACTATGATGGTCTTATGTCGTGTATATCTGTGAGTTTCTGAGTTCACATTAAAGCTTCGAATCGATTAAGAACGATAGAGCCATGACACAATAATGACGATTCTTGTTGCAAATTAAAAAGAGAAGAGTCCTTCAAGTTTCTTATCAGTCCCAATCTTGCCAAGCATTTTAATAATTCGTGTTACATTGTAGGTCCGCGATTAGAACAAACCCGTCCAATGGATAAACAGAGCGTGCGCAGTTATCCCGGAGACCGTGACTCTGTGCGGTCCGTTAGGCGGTCCAGAAGAGAAGACAGCAGCAGCGGTTACAGTGATAATGAGAGGAGATACCGCAGGTCAGTATGCGCATTAAACAGACGTCAAAAGATGTTTTTTGTGCCTATTTTGTATAACTAGGTAATAATTTTCCTTGCTAATTGTCTTTCTTTTGATATGTATATTCTACAGAGATCCTGTTGACAAATTGAGGAACGAATTACAGAGCTTGCAAACGCAACTTCAGCAAGAAACAAACGCACGTGGAATGCAGGCTCATATGTATGACGATCTTCGCCGAAGACATGACGATCTCGAGCGCGAAATGGCACGACGGGGAGCCGAGCAACAGATGGCGAACATGTACGACAACCTGCAGAAAAAATACGACGCACTTGCTAGCGAAATGTCCCGAAGTAGAGATGCTGCAACAAGTCCCTCGCCATATAATGATCTTCGACAACGCGTGGAGGATCTCGCTCGTGATTTAGGCGAGCTGAAACGAAGAGAATATGACAGACCCCCTCCCTCACCTACACCCCAACTCCCACCCCCACAGCCAGCTCCAACACCAACACCAGTAGCACCACCCCCACAGCCTCCAGATGTTTCTTTGATGCAGTTTTTGTGTCCATTCTGTGGAGGGTCTGGAACTCACAGCCACGGAAATTATTTCTACCCTGGCTATTCTGGTCCACCACAGGGAACCCCTTCACCAACCACAGGGACACCTCGACCGCGTCGTCATACAGAGACGCAGACAACGTACGTGCCGCAAGTTACGAACACCTTCGTCCGTCATCCAACAACCCCAGCAGCGACGTCCACACCTTACGCACCCTACTACCATAAGTAAGTGATAAAGCTCTGCCAAAAGGGGTGGGGATAAGTTTCCGATTGTGCCTTTGTCTCTCCCATGGTCGCGTTCGCGTTAGTGGGGAGAAACTGACTATCAGACGTTCGGATTTCCTGTTTGCATTTTCCTGTAGTCAATTTATTTTAGCAAGATCGCTCTTCCCTTCAGACGTTCCCGCTGCATGGCAAAGAGGGCTCTACGGGAGAAAGAGAGACGAGGAAGTAGAACAAAGAATTATTATGCCGTTGCGGAACTGTTACGTAGAGACGGCCCCTCTTTTTGGTCATTTATTTGAGTTTAATGATTTATGGGCGTCTTACATGTATGTCTACTTCACTTGTCACCAACCTTATTCAAGATCCTTTTATTCATTTTAAATTTGTTTTGATTAATTTGTAACCTGTTCTTTCCTAGCGTGGTTACGTCACCAGTTCATCATCACACGCTCACATATCCTGGCGCAGCAACCGGATCTCCCATAGTTCCGACTACAGTTATAACCCCCGGTGCCCCTATGGCACCTGTCGAAAGGATCACTGAGACTCCCACGGTACATCATATTCATCACCTCCCAGGGAATAGGCCCCGCACTCACAAACATCGTGCTCGTGAAGTCTCGGACAGCGATGAATCGGATAGTGAAGAGGAATATACTGTACAAAGATCTAGGGGGTAAGTTCATGTAATTCCTCAATTTTTGTTTATTAAAATGAGTCAAATCAATAAACGAACACATGAATATTTACAAGCACAAGCCAAGTGGGCCTGAGCAAATAGTAGATAAGTTAATAGTGCTCAATAGTGTTGCTGTTGATGGTGACTGACGTTTCGACAACCTTTGCGGTAGTCATCTTCAGAGTCTAAGTGAGTTGTATCACGTCAGTTGATGGCATTAAACTCTGGTCGTTGACCTGATTGAATGTTCAATTAAGTCGCGTTGGTATTGGTCGTCGGTCAGTCAAGCAGTTATGTTATTGGCTATGAAGACTCGAAATGTCATTGGTGCGGTTCGATCCGTCTTTTGTACAGTTTAACAGTCGTTTCTTGTTAGTCACATTGTCGTTTGTCCACTCAGTCTGTCGTAGTTAGTTTTGCTTGAGTCCCTCAATAAGTCGTTTGTACACCGCTGGTAACTGTAGGCTTAACACCTGAACAGTCAGCAAATAGATCAGAGCTACGGAGCCGTCATGTTGTTTCGTGTTATGAATGTTGGACAGCAAAAAATGAATTCTTGCGCAGACTCTCCCTTTAAAACTATTCTGAATCTCTCCCCTTTGCAGCAGACATTCCCGACCTAGAAGCAACCTGGCCAACCGTAGCAGCTTAGGCGGCTATCAAGGGGATGAGGTGAGAAAACAGTCATTTTACATGTAAAGCCTTGTATCTGTAGTATTTACATCGGGCAGATCACGGAGGATAACTCATTCAGTTGTTTTAGCTTGGATGTGAAGACTAAGATTTTGTAATTGTAATTTATTTACCTACGGAGCGCTTAGGAGTTTTTAAGAACTCGTTGAAACGTGTCCGTGTGTTCTAGATCGAATTGGAATTTGGAAGTGTTGGTTTTTAAGCTAAAGGAGAGGGGGAAACCGGAGTACCCGGAGAAAAACCTCTCGGAGCAAAGGAGAGAATTAACAACAAACTCAACCGACATATGGCGTCGACGCCAGGATTCGAACCCGGGCCACATTGGTGGGAGACGAGTGCGCTCACCACTGCACCAATCTTACTTCCCAAGATGAACTTGGAGAGGGCACCCTCCCCCATCTGGTGACTGAAAGATAATCTCAATATTTTCCTTGTCGTAGAGCAAGGAGCCCAAAAGTGTGACCTTATTCAATTAATTCGCATTCTTTCATGCATACAGTAACCAATCAAAAGTCGAGGACAGTTTTCAGCTGGCCTCTGATTGGATTAAATCTGCACGAAAGAATGTGAATAAATTAAAAGCGGTCACCCTTTTGGGCTCCTTGCTGTAAGTCTCTGAGACAGTTTTACATGAAGATATAAATCAGAACTATTCAAAGGGCAGATTTCTGATTTGTTTGACCAGTCATTGATTTGATTGAGACATTATTATTTATTTTTTTTCTTGTTTTCTTTATTGCAGCTTGAGAGCCATCGACTTCATCAGTCACTCGATGTAGCCAATAAAGCGGCAAGAAAAATGCAGCAACTTTCCAAGAGAATGCTGAGCAACATCGCAACGGACCTCATACGATCGGGGAAAAGATAGCATTTTGATCTAAATTTATATTATGATCCAAGCTGTTATCAAAACTTCCACCCATCATAGTTCACCATTCAGACGCGTGCTTCAACTTGAACCACAATTTGAATTTTAGTTGTTAGCCCTCTGGAGCTTTGATTCTGGTCTCGCTTGGGGAACAATGTGTCAACATGGCAGTAAATAATTGTTTTAGTTAGATAGCAGCAACTAAGAAAGTCTTATCAAATTTTTATGGGAGGACGAAAGGCAGCTTTATCGTTTCACAGCAGAAGGATTCCATGGAAAGCACGCCGCATGTGGTGCCCTTGTAGCCGAGGAACAGCGCATGCTTCTGTGTCGCCTTATGTTTCGCTGCTTTCATTTCCGTTCTCTGTCAGTTTCTAGCGCTTGGTGCTTAGATTTCCTTAATTTCGTAAGACTGCACAGCGTACAGAGGAGTTTAGTTAGCCGTTCCCTCCTCCACAGCCTTTCTCTAGGCTTTGTAGACAAGCGAGAAGTGCGAGAGCTGGTGACAAGCGAGAAGCGCGAGAGGAGGGTTATGGGAACGAGCATAGAGCGCGAGCGGGGAGTGATGGGATGGAAAAAGAGAGAAAAGGGAAACCAGAGGTGGCGTCTTGAAATGTCGGCTATTTTCTCAGGCTAGAATCAACGTCATGTATAACTCCTCTGCACCCTGTGGAGACCAGAAACACAGCTCCAGACTAGCTTTTGCCAACACACAACAATTTGCTTATCCATTGGAGGCCATAAGAGCTTGCAAGTGAAGCAGGAGAGTCAGTTTAATATTCCCTCGCAATAACTCGTTTCGTGGCCCTGCTGCCAGCACTTTGTCAACGCATTTTGTTTCTTCTAACCAACCTTTTATGCCTAAAAACCGTGGTTTCACTGTTGAAAAAAAGCGGGTTCATGGGTGCTCATTCCATATCCATTTAGACGATTTGTGCTTTCGCGTGAATCGTTCGCAAAAGTTAGGTATCGCTCTTTTTTCGGAATAGAACATAACGCATTGTAATTCAAACATGTTGAGGGCAGTGTTTTATTTTTATATTCTAAAGGCAGTATTAAGTAAAGCGCTTTTATAGAACTTTATTTTATTTAAATGCTTATCATTTTCACTCCAAATATACATTCGTGTTATTATATTTATTCATTTAAAGCTATTACGACGATTAATGACGAGTTTTTATTACTTTTTGTTAATGCGCACTTATATTGAAATAGGGGTGTTTTTACTAAGATAACCAAACATTTTATAACGACTTTTAAATCCTTTTATATTTGTACAAAAACGTTAAACTAGCACCACACTAAAAGAGCTGATTTCAAGAAGGATGGGTCCCTGTTTTCCTTGAACTCGTCGAATTATTCATCAGTTTCAATCTTCAGCAGCAGAGTCGACGACAGCAAAGTGAAGAAATGATTATCACATTAATAGCGAATTCGCGCAAATATCAAATAAAGTCACCAATTCGTAGGAAGGCTAAAACAGTTTATCAAGAATTTGTTGTTGCTCTTGGTGTCTGATATAATTTGTAATTTCTTTGTCCCGCGTCAAACGTCGAACTTCACATGGGTGGAACCTAACGCTAATAAGCGATAGTAGTAGATTTTGCTCATTAGCCTCAGATTCGGCATACGTGAAGTTCGACGTTTCACCCGGACCCTAGTGCCAGAGGTTTGTAAACAAAGACTGTTATGATTTGCACTAGAAAACAACCACCTGCATTGTTCAAACTGTTCTTGTCGGCACATATGAGGATATTCTTAACACAGCACACAACCAAATTTGTTTCAAATAATTTAATTTAATTTATTTCTTTTTCTATCCCGCCTGATCTCCCCAAAGGAAAGTTATCCCGGCGGCGACAACCGCAACAACCACTCCGACTACAGCACCTGTGAAGTATAAAACAAGCCGGGCTGATTACCTTTCAAGAATTACTGGGAAAGTTGCATGTTAGTCATCGTCTTAGAGCGACCTCTTGCAACTAATAAGTGTCACAGCGCATTAAACTAGATATCCAGTCTATTTTCCTTTCACTCTCCTTTCCCGCCAAAGTTGCCGTGTTCACAAGATCGCATCCGCCACTGATGAAAATCGTAACTTGCTCTGATTGGCTGACAGTTGTCAAGGGAAATCTATAAATAACCCGCCGGAAAACCTGGCAGGGTGTGGCTCAGGCCTTAAATGGGAGATGGTGACCGCGGGGGAAAGGGTCGAGATTGAAGGAAAAGAAAAGGTCATGTGGTAAAACCAGAGAGAGGATGCTTTGATCGTTTAGTAAACACTCCCATTCATACTGTAAGAAAATATATGGAGATGCATGTGGAAAGTAGGGCTTACACAAGGAGCTAAAAAAAGTGGAAAAAAATATGGGATGTTTTGGCCGCAGAAGGAAGTAAAATATACTTGCATTAGAAGTATCGATTGAAACACGATTTGGATCTGGATACGAGGTGAACCTTCCTTTACAGATGCGTCTTGCGTGTATCACCCTAAAGAACACCACGAACGATCTACGAACTTGACTTAACACGAGTTATCATCAACCCCTCTGTAGATTCTATGTATAATAGAGAAAAGATTCCGCTACGTACAAGGAAATTTTTTGGCTCACCTATTACACGTTTTCCTATGCCTTGTTGAATTTGTTCGTCTTCTTCCGCTTCGTCTTTGTTGCCGTTAGTTTCCATCTCCTCAACTAAATTCTTAACAGTTTGAACATCTGCAAAGATGACGCAGTCATTAAATCAACTCTTTTGGTGGCTGCATATCATACCTTTACGCGGGGGATTGTCCTAAAATTATGATTAGAACAGGAAAGTCAAGGGCAGATTTTCCAGGAAGCCTGGCTCCGGTTGTCCAGTTGTTGAATAACGCTATCTACCGAACAATAAGTATTAGTAAAATCCAACTAATTTCGCCCCGCCGCCAGAGCGCCTCGGAGGGCTTGTACATAGGCTATACATGTTTGTCTACACATTACCTGGAAATTCTTCTTTGCATTCAAAGTCTTCTTCTTTTGGTGTAACGTCTAACAACTCGGCCATTCTTTCTCGGGATTCCTGAAGAGCAAGAGCCATGTTAAAAAGTTAGTTTGGTTTTTGGTATCGAAAAAACGACCGCTTATGTTCACCAAGCGCTAAAAAAAGAATAGGGGTGTTGAGAATTTCCGTTAAAAGGAGGCTATACTTGCTTCATCTTCTCCACTTCTAGTTTACATTAAACGCGCGGGCATTTCCATCCCTTAGCCGGCTTGTCTCCTCCACAGCGCCCGCCTACGCATATCACTCGTGAGTGACTTTGGAAGTGGTGAAAGTCATATCAGGGAGCTTAAGTATGCAAAGACGAGTCTGAGCGACGCAATTCCACCGAAAGGAGACTTTTTGCATTTTTGGGCCGTGGTTTTGAGCAAATTTTCGAGCAAATCGTCTCCATTACAGTAAAGGCACTTAGCAATACAAATTGGGGACCCTCAAGGCAAGAAGAGACCTGCTTCGCTCACGACCAAGAAAAGGCGAGACAAAAATGAGGCTGGGGTCAATTTAATAAAATTTTTACAAGTGTAATTTACAAGTTTAGCTATCGTTTTAGAGTCTGAAAATAAAAGCCACACTTGTTAATTACACTTGTAAAAGTTTTATAAAATTGGACCCTGGTTATGACAATGCATTCCCTAATTTATACCTTCACAGTTTCGTCCTTAAATACGTAGTCGCATACTGTAATGGTTCCCATGCCAAAAGGAGCAAATACTCTTTGAGGACAGGTCCAGGTCGATGAGGGGGTACCTTTAAGAAAAGCGATGACTGTTACTAGGTTCTATCCTTGTCTGTTTCCAAGACCACTGCTTATACTTGTTTTCTGGGTCACAAGATTAGAGAAAAGAAGCCGTTCTTGAAGTAGCCAAACTTAAGGTCTGCAAAAAGCTTTATAAGGTTAGTCTGTGAATACAGCCGTCTCTCGTCGCTCCGAGCCTCCACCTTTATTCAACCTTTATTCAAAAATCTGTAGTCCTGCAGAGGGGTTACCATCACGCAAAACGCCTAGGGACGTTTTGCATCAGTATGGAATGTTTGATCAGAGACATCTCTCCCACAAAACGCCCCTAGCAGCGAGGGGCAAAGAGAAACGGCTTAATTCACAGGCTATATAAGACTAGACGGCATTTGATTGAGTAAAAAGTTACACGTGGTGTTAAGAATTTACCTTCACTTGTGGCCTCCTCCTGACTGTCCATGATGTCTTCACATAGAACTTCACAACGTGACAGAAAACTGCGAATTGCATCGTACTTCAGAGCCTAAAATATTTATACCTAATTAATATTCATTAGACTTCGTGCATAGTATACAAGCATGTGTTGATTATTTATGCCTTGATTCCATGTCCGCATAAAAGGCGCTTGGGTTAAAATTTGCCTTATTCATAAAGTCTAGACAGGCAGAAACGCTACGGCATAAATTTATCAAAGAATATAGCTTCATTGTTGTAGCCTCTACCATTATACATGATCTACGAGGTACCTGGATCGCCTCCTTTACGGTAGCCTTCTGATGCACATAAGCTCGACAACACATATTTCCACTCATAGAAAGCGATGCCACTACGTGGGTCTCCTCCTTTTTAGGAGAGTCATTGAGCTAGGGAAAAAAAGGAAAATAGTTATCAATCATTGATTAACTGCCTGTTTCAGCTAGAGTCCAACCTCCGTTAAGCGATACCCTTGGGGAATGGCCAGTTGGTCACTAGTGACGCAGGTTGACCGTTAAATACAAGTTTGACTGGTCAGGTGTTATATAATCACTTACCCACCAATCTTACTTCTTACACCTCCTTCAGTGATGGCAGCCAAAGAAAGGAGTGAGAGGTCTGGGAACTTAACTGCCTTGAAATTCCAAGTTGTTCGTATTTGAAATCTGGCTAACCTTACACTAGAGGAGATTTTCCNTAATCACTTACCCACCAATCTTACTTCTTACACCTCCTTCAGTGATGGCAGCCAAAGAAAGGAGTGAGAGGTCTGGGAACTTAACTGCCTTGAAATTCCAAGTTGTTCGTATTTGAAATCTGGCTAACCTTACACTAGAGGAGATTTTCCCAGATTCATGATTTCCAGTTTTATTACATTTAGATTTTGGGTATTTGGGTTATTGGGGGTCTACACATATTAGTTCATCCTGTAGACAGTATTACTTCAAATACAAAGAACTTACATACCTTAGTGACACCTTAGTTTGTACATTCAAAATTTCCAGACACGCAAACAAACTGGGTCGTTTTTACTTCAAAATCACGCATGTGTGTGCACACGGTAAAACTAATCCAGTACAAAACTGTTGTAGAGTGACTCATCACTCTCTACTCCTCTAGTGTTAACATAGCCATTCCATCATGCTTGTATTCAAATCACAGTCTAAGGCTGCTAAAACCCCAGTCCATAAGAACTACTACTGTGCACTACGACCAAATGTTTTCATCAGTAATATAGCATATCCATATTACCTCTTCAGTGAATACGTCAATCTTAAATGTCTGTGTGGAAGTAGCACGACTTGACTTCCCTGATTTTTCTCCTGGAACAAGAAGCTGATTGCCATTGATCAGTTCCCCATTCACTGTGCACAGGGCATTAGATATGCTCCGTAACAAACTGCTGATGCTTCCCTGGCATTAAAACAAAAAACAAAACAAAAAGCAGAAGTTATCTTTAACAAAACAGTTAATTGGTCACTGGTCTTACTAATGGTAGTCAGTTAAATGGGCTTGTAAGGACAAGCTACTGATGGGAAGGGGAAATTCCTGGCTCAGTTTGCCTCTTTCTTAACACTTGCCCCATTATTTGCCCTTTTTTCACTGTAAGGTGCCTGGTCCCAGGCTAAGTGCTTGGTAAATTGACATTTTAGTTGTTACTTCACGTGTAAGGGTGCTCTTTTAGTTTAGTCTTTTGGCTCTTATATAATGACCAGTTGGTAGAACTGCCTACATTATTGTACGTTTATAGCTCCTATTTTTGTTTCGAGTTAAACACAACGGAACTTACCATTACTTGACTCTGAAGACCAGATTTCTCAAGTTTCCTTTTAATAATGAAGTTCTTATTGCATAATGACAAGGATGTTTCTAGTTTCAGCCACTTTGGTGCAAAGGTCTGATACTTGACTTCAGCTGGGTTCAGATTCGCC